GCACACTTAGTTCTACTCGTCTAGGAGTTCCAGCAGCAGTCACTGAAGTACACCATCAGGTCTCTCTATCAAGTTCGGAGGTAAGGTCACATCATATCTAACAAAACGAGCACAAACTCGGCACACTTAGTTCTACTCGTCGAGGAGTTCCAGTAGCAGTCACTGAAGTACACCATCAGGTCTCTCCATCAAGCCCGTAGGTAAGGTCTCATAATAACTAACAAATCAAGCCCAAACTCGGCACACCTAGTTCTACTTGTCGAGGAGTTCCAGTCGCAGTCACCGAAGTACACCTTAAGGTTACTCCATCAAGTCCGGAGGTAAGGTCTCATCATAACTAACAAAACGAGCCTAAACTCGGCACACCCTATTTTACTCGTCCAGGAGTTCCAGCAGCACTCACGGAAGTACACTTTCAGGTCATACAGGTGGTATTCGAATATCGTATCTAAGTATATTTTTCTAGGTATAAACATTGAAAGATTGATTTTTTTTCTGATTTCTTAAGCCTGGCGTCGACTACAGCAGAAATGCGTCGAATCGAAGCGAGTCGCATTTATTCCTAGTGCGTCCAGCTCTGACGAATCGAAACTGTTCATTCATCGCAAATTCTTCATCAAAATAGGTCTTTTTTGCGTCATGGACAGCTCGGGTGAAGAGATGTTTTTATTTCATCGTGATAATGTGGATCTTCATGATTAAACAATTCTGGATATTGTTGGACCAGTGACATCAATAGTTCTTCATTCATTTTTATTTAAACAAAAAGATTATTACGAAAACGAAATAGAAATTAATTGAAATACGAGTACGCTGGCGCGCATCCGCTTCTCCGCGTCGACTGAGGCGCGCCGAGTTGAATCGAATCGCACCGGCGAAGAAATTCGCCTGTCAAGCAATTCGCACGGTTGATTCAATTCAACGTGCCGCGGCTCGTCGCTAATGGACGCAGTTTCATAGTAAATATATAGGAGGCGACTTTCTGCAATTCGATTCGACTCGGCTCGGCGAGCTTAGTGGACGCTTAGCCTAATAGTTCGATTCTACACCTATCAATTTTGCAAACGTGCCCTTAAGCCTGGCCTCGACTACAGCAGAAATGCGTCGAATCGAATCGAGTCGCATTTATTCCTAGTGCGTCCATCTCTGACGAATCGAATCGAATTGTTCATTCATCGCAAATTCTTCAACAAAATAGGTCGTATTTGCGTCATGGACAGCTCGGATGAAGAGATATTTTTATTTCATCATGATAATCTGGATCTTCATGATTAAACAATTCTGGATATTGTTGGACCAGTGACATCAATAGTTCTTCATTCATTTTTATTTAAACAAAGATTTTTACGAAAACGAATTAGAAATTAATTAAAATACGCTGGCGCGCATCCACTTCGCCGCGTCGACTGAGGCGCGCTGAGTTGAATCAAATCGCATCGGCGAAGAAATTCGCCTGTCAAGCAATTCGCGCGGTCGATTCAATTCGGCGCACCGCAGCTCGTCGCTAATGGACGCAGTTTCATAGTAAATATATAGGAGGCGACTTTCTGCGATTCGATTCGACTCGGCTCGGCGAGTCTAGTGGACGCTTAGCCTTAAACGACTACCATAAACAACTATAACACCAAGGGAATTGCAGAATCATTGCCGGGCTTTTATAAAAGAGTAGGCTCTTTTGTGTGAAGTTTTGCGAGGAAGAATACTTCTTGTAAATCGCATAGCGGTGGACCGCCAATCATCCAGATGGTATGGATTTTTTTATGGAAGAAGTGGCAAACGAGCTTGCGGCTCACCTGATGGTAAGTGACTAAAGTGAGTAAGTGAGTAAGTGAAACAGTATTCCATGTAAGGAATACTGTTTTGAAATTGTGAAATTGCGCTTTGTAAACTTTCAACCGATGTGCCGGCATGAAATACTGTCTTGCTCTGCTGAGCACGCCAAGCTTTTTACAGGCCAATTTGGCCTTCTCTTCCAAGTCACCACGATACTGCACACTGTTCGATATGTCGATGCCGAGGGTTCCGATGCTAGCTGAGGCAGCAAGGGGAGTGCCTTGAAACTGACGAGATACGACAAAGAGGTTCTTTTTAGCGGCAAACTTGTCTTCTGGGGATTGAACTGGACTAGATTTAGTCGCCTCCAATCTGAGACTTTCTTCAGCAAAGACTCAACTTCAGACACAAGTTTGTTCCGGTACGCAGCGACGATTTCCCGAGAAATATTGGCACGGCCGGTGTATAAGGCATCACCAGTGCCGTCGTATGCATAGCAATGAATGTTTTGTGAAACTGCTAAGTTTGCAAAATATCATTGATATGCAGAAGCAACAGCGGTGGTGATAGCATGCAGCCTTGTGGAACACCAGGCTAGAAGGCTTGTAATCAGAGCTTGCACCGTCTACTACGACTTTGATTCTCCGATCAGCAAGAACACTGGTGACCCAATTGCACAATTTGTCGGGAAGCCCATAGGAAGGGAGTTTCGAAAGAAGCGCTTGGTGCCAGACCCGATCGAAGACCTTCGCTGTGGCCAAACTAACGGCCAATCCTTCTCCCTTGGACTCCACTGCCTCCGCTCGTCTATGAGTCAGGTACCAGAAGATCACCAGCTGATCGACCCTGACGAAACCCGTATTGGCGATCACTAATCAACTGGTGATGCTCAAGGTACCTCATGAGCTGGCAGTTTATAATAGACTCCATTATTTTGGAGAACAAGGAGGTGATGGCGATAGGCCTGTAGTTGGACAGGTCTGAGCGGTCGCTTTATTTAGGGATCGGATGGAACAAACTGTCTTCTTTGAATTCGTGACTACGCCTTGGAAGTAGGAGTACTGGAAAAGACGCTTTAAAACCGGTGCCAACTCTGGAACACACGTCTTCAGCACTAAACACTTGTGTTCGCCTCGTCATCGAGAGTTGAGTTGGACGCAAAGAAAGAGCTTAGCAGATTGGCTTTCTCCTTTGCGGCATGGGCCAGTGAGTCGTCCTCCCTGTGCAGAAATGGAAAAGATGGCTGTCAGAAGTTTCCTTGGACAGCCTTGGCTAGAGACCAGAATGCACGGGTTTCCGAAGGAAGGCAAACTAGTTTTTCGCCAATTCTGCCTATGCGCTCTGACTCTTTTAAAGGACCTGGAGGCGGAATTGTACTTCTTTTTAAAGACGCTGGTGTTTACATACCGGGACGTTGATGCGTCAGCCCAGGCCCGGTAGCACTCCTGCTTGTAGCGTGATGCCTTCGATGGGCACAACAGAGGAAACAATAAAAAGTTCTATACCCTGAATTACCACATCAGCCATAGAATTAGCAACAACGTTGGGATAGTCTGGCGAGAAGCAAACCCGCCCCCAAGGGTAGGATGCAAAGAAAGACTACATCCCATCCCAATCGGCCGGCCTATATAGTGCCAAACACGGCGGCAGCCTGCAGAAAGCAAGCGCGATTTCAGCGTGAGTGGCACTACACTCCGGACTAGACAATGGTCCGAGGAGCCAAGAGGGGCGTTGACGGAGACCTGATATCTGTCCGGATGAGAGGTCAGCAGAATGTCCAACAGGGAAGGTGCATCATCATCCAAATCTGGAATCCGCGTAGGCGTAGTAACCAGTTGTATCAGTCCATATGCCAAGACAAAATCATGAACACATCTCCCCGCATAATCGGTTAAACGTGCACCCAGCCATTCAGCGTGGTGGGCGTTAAAATCGCCAAGGATCACGATCTCTGCAGATGGGACCTGTTGTAGCAAGGAATCTGTAGCCATTTAGACGTCGTCGATGAATCGGTCTGTCTCGGCATTTCCGCTATAGGACCTGAGGCACACGTATACGCGCGGATGGTGGTCGCTGTCTATGCGTAGCCAAAGGATTGACAGGTCCGTACCTTCAAGACTGCCGAGGCGTCGAAAACACATGTCCTCTCTGACATATACGCAAACTCCAGCCCGAGGCACAAAGAAGTGTTCCAATTTGTACTCCTGGTAGGAGAGATACGAAGTATCAACCGGAGAGGATACCTGCGTTTCGGTCAGAAAGAGCAAGGCCAGCTTCGCCGTCTCGAGATGGTAGTGGACGGCGTTTAGATTCGAGTGAAGTCCCCTGATGCCCTGATGTTGCAGAAATTCACAGATAGCGTGGCAGGGGTCGCCTTGGTCACGTTGTTCAGTTTGCCCCGAGTAGTTATTGTTTTGAGCGGAATTTCCCCAAGGAGTGGAGTAGCTTGGTTGTGGATGCTCGATTGCGATGCGATTCTCCAGGGATGCTGGATGGACTCTCCTGAGGTAGTCGTTCATTTAATTTCGCTACTATGTTGATGGGGGGGGGGGGGGGGCAGAATTAGGCCTCCAGTCATAAAAGCTGCCGCGTGGCTCAACAACCGTTAACTAGCGGCCAACGCCTCCCCCTTGGACTCTACTGCTTCCGTCTATCTATGAGTTAAGTAGCCCAGAAGATTACTAGCTGAGCGATCCCGACGAAAACCGTACTAGCGGTCACTAATCCGCTGGTATTTGCCTAAATACAATAACTGCTGCATAGCATATTTACTATGCCAACTACCCAATTTTTTTGTGAGATCCAAGAATATAGCCATCTCATTCACACTGAATATAAAATACCCAATTTCTTCCAGATCCACATGATAGCATAATGACCAAGTTCATTGAAATCTTCAACTAACAACAAACGAAATAAAGAAGACTACACAGATGACCTCAGATGTGAAAATGCAGCATTTTCATATCTGAGAAATACATCATTTCTAGTGAAAAGAGTTTCCGGTTCTCTAATACTGACCACACGAAACACAGATGCATTAAGCTGCTATTTTACGCAGGTATTTTGTGAGAGCTTGGTCTTTTCCCGGTTGAGCTGACTCAGTCGTGCTACAATTCTCATATAATTGCAGCATAGCTCTATTATGTAGAATGATTGTTAGTTGTTTTGCAATTTAATTGTTAATGTAATATATTCACAGTACAAGAGAAATCCCCAGTATGACTTTATAGTATAGTATCAGTAGCAAAGTAAAAGAAAATGCTAACGGTATGCGAAGGCGAGTCATCACTGAGCGAGTCTCCGAGCGAGCTCTGCTCGAAGAAGCCATCGTCATCGGACTCGTCCACGGGTTTGGACGTGGCAGTGGTGGTAGTGGTGTCTGGCGTGGCAGCCGTGGCGGCCGTGGCAGCCGTGGCGCTCGAGTCCCGCGCCGCGCGCGCCTCGTGCAGCGCACGCGCCGCCGCCGCCTCGTCGCCACTCCACCCCGTGAACCCTGCCAATGTCATACACATACATCTAAACTGATGTTATTTCTTAATAATAATAATCACTGCCCTTAAACCTCGACCATTTGGACTCCCCTGTCAAGGACTTCCATCTGGTTACGATTATACTTCAAGCAAGCACATAATCCACCTGATGCTAAGCAAATGCTATGACCCACAGACATCTACATCTATCTTTGATTAAGAATCAAAATGCAGATAAGTTGTCACCCCTGAGGACTAAGATAAGATGCCTTATTTCCTTAAAAGGGAAACCCTTTTGACTGGTTCTCTACACTGAATCTTAATCTTTATATTACTATATTTTAATGTATATTTATCATTTTGTTTCATATATTTATTGAACCCAACCAAATGAGAATACTATTTAAATACCCCATAATATAATAATTATCAATAAATAATATGTTTAAATTTGCTAATACAGTGAAATTAAACATAATTATTATGCTCTCATTCTCTCTGACATACAACTACCTACATCTAACTACATCTAAACTGACATCTAACTACATCTAACATATCTGAGTATTTATGAATTGGAATAATTAATAGCTTATAAATACTTATTTACAAGAACATATTTATTTTTCATTTTGAATTATTCAAGCAACTTTTAAGAAAAAGAGAATATGACTGAATATGTCATTATAAGTATATATAACTATCAACGCGCTAACAACAAAAGCTTTAGCATATAGTCATAACAGGTATAATGGAATTGAACAAAAGCAACCAAATTGAACACTATCCTATGATTTGATTTGAAATAAAATTATAAACAAGTGATTTTTTTTAAATATTTTGTACTAAAAAAAATAATATGTCACGTTTTTTTCATATTCTTTACACTGTCATTCGATTCTGAGCTACATTCAAAATTTGAAATCTCTAGCTAATCGAGATATACTCGAAATTTGAGTTGCAAGTTTCCCCCGGAATGACAGACAGACAAACAAGAAAGTGACTTGATAAATACGTGGTAAAATGCATATTAAGAAATATAAAAAGCTTGTGTGCAGATCACACACGGTAGAAGTGAAACCCTCAGAAATTATCAAAAGAGGAGACAAAGATAATAGGAAACACTATACTGTATTCTATCTCACTCTCTAGCAGGCTACATCCTATAGATGGTATATGCTTGTCTCCTTTTAGTGTCGCTTTTTCGTTTCATTTAGTTTCAAATCATAACGATTGTAAAGAAGTTTTCACTTCAATAGCTGAAATTAAAATATAAACAACTACAATTACAATATAAAACTACTACTGCAAATAAAAGACGTTTAATAAAGCTCGTACGGGTTGCAGATACCCTCGACAACCAACCTTACCTCCCGTGTCAATAGGAGACATATCAAACCCACGAAACTCTGAAACAAATCACATACCTTTACTACTTTATTGGTTGATTTTCATCATCATCATCATTACAGCCCTTCACAAGTCTACAGCTGAACCTAGGCCTCCCTCAAGAAATGCCACAAAGCACAGCTCTAAACCACCTCCATCTATCGACTTTCTACCAGGTACCAGGTCGTCACTCTATTTATATCGCAGTTCTGCATTCCCGCTTTAACACGGTCAAGTCTTTCTTTTCACAGTAAAATGTCTCTCCGAAACAAGCGAACCATTTATAAGGTCTGTATACGACCAGACATAACTTACGCGGGCCCTATATTTGCTCACGCTGACCCCAAAATCATTAACGAACTACAAATAGTTCAAAACCTTTTCTGTCGTCGAACCTTGAACGCACCCTAGTACGTCCGTGGCGCCGACTTCCATCGAGACTTAGAGTTCCCCACAGTCCAGCAATTTCTGAAAACACTCCCTGAGAACTTTTTCAAAGTCTCAGTGAGACTCTCACTCCAATCATTTCATTCGTGAGTGACTTATGCAGTCCCACTCCCCTCCCGTTATCGAGGCTGAAGGCCGAGAAACTCTCTCTCGGACCCGCCAAACAAGATTTCGGCCGACCTAAACTGCCTCCTGGCGGCTCAGGTCGACTCTTCTTAATTTGCGTTAGTTAGGCTCCTCCTCAGCGGCTCGTCGCCGCCTGCGCCCCCTTTTCCCAAAAGAGGGTCGCTTCCGTTTCGGCAGAAAGGCCTCATAAGCCAATGCCAGTCTTACAGGTGGTGTTTAGTGGGTAGGCACTTAGATTAGGTTAGGCAGTGACATCCACATAACCACGACAGTATTAGAGCATTCACCACTTCCTCCGCCGCTTCCTGCTCGCCACCACCGCACTCACCCACTCCTCCGCCACAGAGAACTCTTGCATCCAACGTAAAGTGCACAGCGCACAGCGCACAGCGTACCTAGGTTGGGCGGGCGGGGCTCGCGCGCGCGCAGCTTGCGGCGCACGGACAGCACGCGCCGCTTCCTGCTCGCCACCACCGCACTCACCCACTCCTCCGCCACAGAGAACTCTTGCATCCAACGTAAAGTGCACAGCGCACAGCGCACAGCGTACCTAGGTTGGGCGGGCGGGGCTCGCGCGCGCGCAGCTTGCGGCGCACGGACAGCACGCGCCGCTTCCTGCTCGCCACCACCGCACTCACCCACTCCTCCGCCACAGAGAACTCTTGCATCCAACGTAAAGTGCACAGCGCACAGCGCACAGCGTACCTAGGTTGGGCGGGCGGGGCTCGCGCGCGCGCAGCTTGCGGCGCACGGACAGCACGCGCCGCTTCCTGCTCGCCACCACCGCACTCACCCACTCCTCCGCCACAGAGAACTCTTGCATCCAACGTAAAGTGCACAGCGCACAGCGTACCTAGGTTGGGCGGGCGGGGCTCGCGCGCGCGCAGCTTGCGGCGCACGGACAGCACGCGCCGCTTCCTGCTCGCCACCACCGCACTCACCCACTCCTCCGCCACAGAGAACTCTTGCATCAAACGTAACTTTCTTCTGAGTTCTAAAGACAAGACATTATTTTATTGTTTGCAACATAAAATGAATTAATGTATTAAAAAATGGGTATAGGCGTTTTTCCGTTTGACCATACTAATTAATTATTTGATTGTAATGAAACACATTTAATTTATTGAAAATTTAACCAGATGTTTATGAATTGTGCAATCAAGCAGCAAATGAAATTGATACGGCTAGGATATCATCCTTTCTTCAGAGACGAAGAGCGGTAGAGTGAATGAAAGAGGGGGAGAGAAGGAGAGGGGGAGAGAAGAAGAAAGAGGGAGAGGGAGAGAAAAGGAACTATGTAGAGGTAAAGAGAGAGAAAATGAGGAGGGAGGTATAGAGAGACAGAGCGAGAAACAGAGAGAGTAAGAAAATGGAAAATATTAAAAAATTTAACCGCAGTTTTATTCGCGTGAAAATAAATAGCCCTTTAAAGTTATTCACTACCCCAATATATAATAACACAATGGTTTCAAATAGCCTTTTTTTTAATGGAACACCAGCATAAAGTAGCAGCTTAATGCTACTGTGTACTGAGTGCTGTGAACTTTATTTACTGGATTTAGATGTAGAGGCGTTGTCAGCCCTAAAGACTACGATGGAATGCCTCATCAATCATAGTCTTTAGAACTGACAACACTAATACATCTAAATTTATAATTGAGGTTAGATTTAGGTATCTAAAAGCATTCACTTACCATCAACTGAAATGTATGCTTGCTTGTCACCCTTATTCTAAAAAGATAAGTCTGCCAAGCGTGATAACTGTGGCAAATATCCGCCTTATGAGGCTCTCCCTATGAGGCATGAATGTATGAATGAACAAATTCTTATCTTACAATGTTATATCAGTACAAATACCTTTACTGATAAACAACTTGACAGCTTGTCCCAAAGCATCTCCCAACTTGTGTTCGTACTTTCTTTTGCGCTCCTTCTTGTTGGGCGGCGTGTCCAGTATGTGTGTGAGGTCGAGCATCTCGATGGGACGCGGCTCGTCATCGTGCTCGGGGGGTTCCTCGGCACGTGAGGTGTCACAATGCCCCCCGTCGTGTGGGGGCTCGCAGTGCTCGCCGCCCTGCGGGGGATCGCAGTGTTGCTGCAATGGTGTGGAGCAGCGCGGCGGGGGGTCGGGGGGTGCGCCCGCCTCTATGGCGGCCTGCAGCTCCACTAACGCCGGCGGACGTACACTTGCACCTACTAACCCCTCTTGGCTGTACTCCGGTTGACACAGATCCTCTACTAGAAGCCCATTCTGTGAAGTTATTTTTAATTTAAATATATACTCTCTTTATCTTTTTTTAAAAACTAGGATTTTTCTCCTGTGTCATGGAGGCTTTACAAACATAAATTGCACTAGGACAAACATCCAGACCCGGAACAATTATTTGTAGGCCGAACAAATACTTGTTCCGTGCGGGTTTCGAACCCGCGGCCCCCAGCGCAACAACTCATTGCTAAGCTGTCCCACGGAGCTGTCAGTAATGTTCTAAAGGTTATTTGATTTGACTTGAAAGGACCAAGTCTCGAAATCCGCTTTGGATTTTGATTTGATGGTAGTTTTGGTTAAATAAGAAGTAATATGAACAGCAAAGAAACTCGTCTATCATTTGAAACATTTTAATATATATTTTATAATCATAAAAAAATTACATAATATTAATATTATTAACTCCATGGTAATAATGTGATTCTTTTTATTTATTGTAAAGCAAATTCAACCTGGTCCAATCAAAACTAGTAGGTATTTTAAAATTCTTATTACAAGCTAAACATCAATAATTCATGCATTCACACTTCTTGCAACTTGCGTCATATTATATATTTTGACCAACTATTTAACGAATCCAAATTAACTTTTATATTTATAAATAATTAATTATATAGTTATCATTGCAAGATATGATAAATTTCTGATAAAGGTCCGTAAAAAATCTTTATAATCGTTTTTAGGGTTCCGTAGGCAAATGGCAAAAACGGAACCCTTATGTCTGTCTGTCTGTCTGTCCGTCCGTATGTCACAGCCACTTTTTTCCGAAACTATAAGAACTATGCTGTTGAAACTTGGTAAGTAGATGTATTCTGTGAACCGCATTAAGATTTTCACACAAAAATAAAAAAAATAAAAATTGGGGGTTCCCCATACTTAGAACTGAAACTCAAAAACTTTTTTTCCATCAAACCCATACATGTGGGGTATCTATGGATAGGTCTTCAAAAATGATGTTGAGGTTTCTTATATAATTTTTTTCTAAAACGAATAGCTTGCGCGAGAGACACTTCCAAAGTGCAAAAATGTGTCACAGGGTAACTTCTAAAATAAGAGAATGATAAAACTAAAAAAAATATATGATATACATTACCATGTAAACTTCCATCGAAAATTGGTTTGAACGAGATCTAGTTAGTAGTTTTTTTTCGTCGTAAATCGTAAATTATGTTACTTGCTGCTACGGAACCCTTCATGGGCGAGACCGACTCGTACTTGGCCACTTATTTATAATATTAGACTATACAAATAACACATTTAATCTAGAAATGAAATGGCAGCATAATAGGATTTACTATTCCATATCATCCAATGTACTAAGAGACGATAGATCGAAATGAAACAAAAGATGAACAGCAACTTTTTCCTAATATCAATTCAAAATAATAAAAACATAACGTTTGTGAACCTGCTTGCAAAATTTGGCAACTATGGCAAATATTCCCCTTATCAAGCAATTGCACATTGCACCTGATGTTATGAGCCATAGACATGCACATCTATCCTCGATTTAAAGTCAATAAACAGATGTGTTGTCACCGCTGAGGACTAAGATGGAATGCCTCATTTCCAGTAAAAAGGGTCTCCAGTCCTCTACACTCACAATGCGAAACACAGCAGCGTTAAGTTGCTATTTTCCGCTGGTGTTCTGTGAGAGCGTGGTCCTTCGAGCTGACTCATCCTTGCTACAATCATAAACTAGCTGCACCGTGGCTTTATTACGTAAGAAGAATAGGTATATTAGGTGACCTGCAGCCTCCAGGTGACGTGGAAGTCTGCGAGCAGGCCGATGGGCTCGCCGTCGTAGTCCGTGAGCGCGGCGTCCCCCGGCGCCGGCACGCGCGGCTCCAGCGGCAGGTAGGTGCGCGGCAGCGTGGGGGGCGGCCGCGTGCCCCCCGCGCCCCCCGCGTCGCGCTGCGCCCCCCGGCTCGCCTCCAGCGCGATGTACGTGAACTCGCCCCCCGCGCACCCCCCGACAGACGCCTTGCGCTTGCGCCCGCTGCCAGGCGTCTGTGGCTCTTCCGCACCGCCGCTTTCCTCCCTGTTCAATTAGAGACCTTTTCGATACAAATGGAGTGAGTTATCACAGGCGGTTCTGGCGCCTTTACATTCTTAATCTTTACATCTTTAAATTAAAAAATGTACAGTATGCCTAAACAAATAAATAAAATTAAAGTGTCTGTTTATAATGTCAAAATAACAGCTTTTTATTAAATGCATATGAAAGTGTATACGGTACTTATAACAAAAAAAAAACAATTTTATAAATTTTTGTCTGTCTATTCCGGATAATCTCCAAAGAGGCTGGACCGATTTTGACGGGACCTTTACTATAGCCACTCGCAGACACCGTTAGACAAATTACAGAGTACACGTGTGTATTTTAGACTTGGCGTATTTGGGTATTGTAGGCGTGGCTTGCGTGAACTTGACGAAGCTTGTCGCCGTTTCGATCGAGTGTCGGTTTTTGAACACAAATCAAAAATCGCTTGCGACGCATTCATCCGTTAGTGCGCGTTAAGTTTCACTTGTGATCTCGCGACATATGTATGTTTTGCTCTGTTGCAAATCCTCGAACACAAAATGAGTAGCAGGTCGAAAGAGCAAACTATAGCCTTTCTGGAATATTACCAGAGTGAACCACGCATGCATGGAAACTAAAACAGGAGATGGACAGCAACATCTTCCCGGTAATAGCTAAAAAAAACTGCCACTATAGCAAAATCTCCCATATGAGGCAATCTATGGGGGACGGTCTATGTTTAGCGGTGGATATGGGTGCATATGCATCTGGAATTCCAAATATTTTAATTATAAAGATGAAAAGAAAGATAAGAGTGACAAACGAGCATAATGTCCACCTGATAGTAAATAGTTGCTGTAGCCCATAGACATCTACATCCATTCTCAACTACGAACAAAATGCGGGTGCGTTGTCACCCGTGAAGTCTAAGATGGAATGCCTCGTTTCCAGTAAAAGTGGTCTCCGGTTCTCTACACTCACCATATGAAACACAGCAGCGTTAAGCTGCTATTTTACGCTGGTATTCTGTGAGAGAATGGTCCTTCCCCGGTCGAGCCGACCCATTCGTGCTACAACTATACTACTGATATAGTTGCAGCATGGTTCTACCAGATAAAATATAGTGGCAGATGCCTGGAGTCGTTTTGTCGAATTAATGCAAAGGTCAGTAAAGGAATTAAAAGCTAAAAAAGAAATAATGATGACGATGATTGCCTGTTCGGAGCAGACACATACTAACCACAGCATGAACGCGAGATGCTAAGTTTACACACTTGTAAAATCTTAGCAAGCTTCCAGAATATGCAAATGCTAGGCTCTGCATTTGGGAGTCACAACACAGTTTGTGAATGCGCCAGAGTGTTCGTCACGCGTTACCACGCATAGACGCAAACTGCTAAAGACATTTATACACACGCCCCTGCACAGTCAAAACATACTTGTCGACAATGGTGGGCGGTTCCGTCTGTATCTGTGTGGATACACTACGCTAACGTACGTTTTTTTTTATAAGAGTGCAACGAGCATACAGTCCACCTGTCCACCTAAGTTGATGCTGTGACCCATAGACATCTACATCTATCCTGAATTAATAATCAAAATGGAGAGGCGTTGCTAGTCGTGAGGACGAAGATGGATTTCTACACTCGAAACAGCACAATTGAGTTGCTATTTAACTATTTTATTAGAATATATTCCTATTTTATATATTATTTTTCAAATCATATGGGCAAATTTAAATGCGTAAGTATATGAATTTGGAGGGAGGAGGCGACAGAGGTGTGTCAGGATCGTGACAAATAAAAGTCCGTAGTCTCTGCCTACCCCTATGGGTGACAGGCGTGATTGTTTATGTATTAAGTTTATTAATATTCTGTGAGTGTGGTAGTACGCCGGTCGAGCCAACCCACTCGTGCTATAACTACCAGCGTAATATACTTGCAGTATGGCTCTACCACATATATAATATAAGGGCTAACTTTTACTTGCATGTTTTTTTTAATATTCTATTAAGCCAGCGCTTATCTACGATTCCATCTGATGGTATGGTGATTTTGCCTAAGATGGTGAAGCGTACTGACTTAACAAAAGCCTATTCACTCTTGCCTTGAAGACATCCACACTGTAATCGGATGGAAAGACAGATGCTGGCAACTTTGCTGCACGCTTGATGAACGGCGTGGCGAATCGTTTGGTTCGAATGCGTGGTAAGTCAACAACGAAAGGGTGGAGACTGGCCGAACGTCTCGGTTTCCGATGATGGAAGGGAGAGAGAGAAATTAAATTATGCAATTCCTGCGCACACTTTCCGAAATGCATCCTGTAGAAAAACGAAAGGCTGGCTACTTTACGTCTGTGTTCGAGGCTGGTAAGATTGGTTTTAACCATATTCGGGTCACCAATAAGCCTCTTAGCATGCCTTTTCATTGAGTCCAAAGCTGCTAGGTGGCATTTTGCAGCATCAGGCCATATATGGCAGAAATACTCCATGCACGACCGGACTTGCGCTTTATATAAAGTAAGCAGCTGTCCCGGCGTGAAGTATCGCCGCACATTTGCAAGGACTCCCCGCTTCCTTGCAGCTGCTTTGGCCTTGGACTCAATGAACCACCCGAAGTTCAAATTTGAGGATATCTCAAGCCCTAACAACTGAAGGCGGTCGGTATATTTTAGTGATACTTTTCGGAAAGAAGGAGTCAAGGTGAGCTGGCTCCTTTTTGCAGTGAAGAGACACGCTTGTGTTTTGGAGGCGTTGAATTTCACAAGATTGGCATCGGCCCATTCGGAGACTGCCTGTAGTGTGAGATTCACACGCTCTATCATAGCTTCTCTTTCGGACTGGATTTGATCCAGACTGGCCCGAGGACTTGGTTGGTATCTCTTAACAACTGTGCTATCGTCTGCATACCCATAGATACCGGGCATAAACAGATCATTAATATGCAGCAGGAAGAGAGATGCGGAGAGAACGGACCCCTGAGTAACACCGGTGTTAGTCGCCATAGGATCGGATGAGCAGCCATCGACGACGACCCCGAGAGACCTTTCACTCAGAAAGTCCTTTACGCATTCAATCAGACTAGGGGATAAGCCGTACGTTGGAAGCTTACCCAAAAGGCTAGTGTGCCAAACTCTGTCGAAAGCCTTCGAGATATCAAGGCAAACAGCAAGTGCTTCCCCACTGTTCTCGAGTGCCTCGCCTCATACGTGTGTGGCATACGCTAGAAGGTCCCCAGCTGACCGATTTCGGCGAAACCCATATTGCCGGTCACTAAGGAGGTCATTCTGTTCTAGGTATGCCATTAAACGGTCATTCAATATACGCTCCATAATCTGCAGAGTATGGAGGTAATTGAGATTGGCCGATAATTGGCAGGGTCGGCACGGCTGCCTTTTTTTGGAACAGGCTGCACGTTGGCCAGCTTCCAGGATTTTGGCATTATTCCAGTCCTAAATGAGAGGCGGAACAAGTGTGTCAACACAGGAGATAACTCAAGTGCACAAGTCTTTAGAACTATAGCTGGTATACCTTCTGGTCCACTAGCTTTATTCACGTCTAGACACCGCAAGGTTTTAAGAACCTCCTTATTTGTTATACGAATCTCCGACATAGAGGTCCCGCATTGAGGTAATTTTGGTGGAACGTTGTTGCCAAGAGAGTCGCGAACAAGTCCGCTTTCTCTTTAGCCGTATGCGCCAGTGTGCCATCCGGTTTTATCAGCGGAGGCAGAAGTGTAGGCCGACAGAAGTTTGTCTTGACCACTTTAGCGAGAGACCAAAAAGCTCTAGTGCCGGATGGTCTGGCAGAGAGTTTTGCACCAATATGTTTAATGCAATCGAAACTAGCTTTCCGTAATGCTGTTATTCCGTATGAGTATTGTTAATTTATACAAAGATTTTTTTTGTATGTTCCAAAACGGTTACGCTCATGGTATGGAACATTGCTCTGGGTGGAGACCTTAAAAACTAAAACTACGTGATCCTTAACTAACTTTAGCGTCATTGCGTAATATTTTGCTGATAACAAATCTTTTATATAAAGGAATATTTATGTTAATTGTAAAAATTGTTAATTTAAATGTAAATTTTGTACACATAAATTCCATACAACTTTATTATTATGCAAAAAAGATACGCAAGGCTTTGTTATCGGCTTATCGGTTACATCATGGAAAGGCGCTTCAAGGAAAAGTACAATAGATATTTTTGCAATAGCCGTTAACTATATAGCGTGTTGCCAAAACGACCAAAATAATGTAAAACTAGATTCAGCGCAGCATTATAAACATCTATACCATCTTTATCTCTATAGATAAAAATTAATTGTTGTCCGTTAGTCTCGCTAAAACTCGAAAACGGCTTGACCGATTTTTGTTGAAATTTTTGTGACACAATTATTGGACTCTGTAGTTGGTGCTGTTGGCGAGATTCAGAAGTCACTCGTGCGAAGCCGCGGTGGATCGCTAGTTATACAGAAATGAAGAGGCTTAAAACCGAAATAATTTATGTAAGAAGTATGTAAATATATATATTCCTCTATTAAATATTTTTCTAGAATATCAATGGAAAATAAATATGGAATAATCTGTTTAATAACGAAATCACTCGGCGGTAAGAACAAAGACAGTAGGTATTGGATCGGTGCTAGTAATAGAAATGGAAGAGATATCCAGTGTCAAAAAGACATGCTTTTAAATATTGCGGGACCTAAACCGAATGTCATTATGTTGTTTTGTATCAAATCTCTTTATAATCCGTACTCTAGAGGATAGACACATACGTGGAAAATATTTTGAGACATAATTGCAAAACAATCGATCGGAACATAGTTTATCATCAGATCTGAGGTGATAGGCTTTCTTATCCCTTTGTTAAAAAAGAGTTACCAATATAACGTCATTTTTAGAGATTTTATAAGAATGCAAACAAAGCCAATGGATAGATAGATGTAATCAGTTTGCATTATTGCACTAATAGAACCTAACGGCGCGGCTGATATTACGAGAATATCACATTAC